TTAATTATATTGATTAAACCAATAAACCGCTTGTGTCGAGGTTATCAATCTCAATCGTTTTCATCTTAAGTTTATTGCTACTATCAAGTTAATATACGGCGCTTGTTCTATATTGACTCGATAGTAAGTTTTATTAATGAACGCATCTCGTTATTAATAACTACCCTCGATGAACTAGATATACTCCTCGATTGAGTATGGTATTCGAGAGGACGATAGTCAAAGATATAACCGGGATCGACAAACATTTCATTAAGTGGATAAAAGCAAAACCAAGTCCTCATCTCCATTAATTAAACCACATAAGTCGTTCATCTTAGTATTAATTAAATCAAACAAATCTAAACCCCCTATTGTTACTACTTATATAAAAGAAAAGTATTCCTTTCCCTGTGGATACGAACCTTACTTCGTTATACTACGTATAATCATTGTATTGTAATTATTTTGAGTGCACCTCATGACAAGGGCACGTTAGAAACTCCCAAGGAATTGGAATCTATAATCAGACAAACGGCGGGACGACTTCCCAAGACAGAGAAACCTTGGGAGAACATTAGAATCAAAGCCCCCTTCCAAGAGGAACTCAGAAAGCGCGTCTGGCGTAAACCGGAGAAGGTTAGGCCTTTAAATGAACTGAAAATGTGCGAACTTACACATCTAAAAGGCAAAGAAGCAGGAGGTCACCTTCACATGCTACTTCATAGATCTTCAGGGTCTCATCGACAACTCTTGGAAAAAGATCTAAAGTCTAGTACACATCCTGTTCATGCAATACTAGAAGTCAAAGCCGAAGATCATCATACAATCAGATTCTACTCATACAAAGTCCAGCGCACTGACAGTACTGAATTTGTATGCCAAGAAAATGACTTCATAATGCTCAAAATGGATGATATCTATGGGATGTTCATGGCATACAGATATCTACCGGTAAGTAGCAATCGAACTTACAAAGAAGGCTTTGAAGCAATCAAGCGGTTCATGCTGAGACAAGTCCGAGTCAACGCTTCTCATGACTTCCAAATGGCTCTCGAGAACAACATCCCAAAAGCAAATCTGTCTCAACCAAAACTGTATGGTCCGGAGCTTGAGGACTTCCCTGCATACCACATCTCCTTCACTCCACCTGCAGTAGTCTATCTGAACCACAGGGATGAAAAATACCTGATGGTGGTTGAAGAGATCCACAAATTCTGTGATGGGACGTTGAAAATCATTCAAGAGAAGCTACAAAAAGTGAAGGAAGAGCTTGACAAAAGACTTGAGGATGCATCTACATATACTCAAAAGGAGCATGACGTGCTGACTCTCATTCTCAGACAATATGATCACGCGCTAAACATCATGAAAAACTACTTCAAAGCTCAGAAATAAAAGCAAGACGACACTTGATCACAAAGGGGGAGATTGTTGAAGAATATTTTATTGTGTATCAAGTTTGTCAAGAGTCTTGTATTAGTATCGCCTTTAGTACTCATTGATTGTATTAATTGTTGTATTTATTAGAGTAGTAAAGGGTATGTGGTCCAAATGTCTGGCCCATATACCAGGCGTAAAGCCTATACGCAAACCTACCTGCGCATATAAAAAGGCGCTTAAGGGTTAGGTTTGCGTTAACTTTTGCATTCGATCTTTACAGCCTTAGAGCTTATTATCATTCTTACTGTAGAAGTTCACGGTATATCAAAGACGAATTTAAGGATCTCCAGTGTTTATCTTTCTGCTATTCTTATCTTTGAGTATCGTTATATTGTTGTAATCATATAAATAGGGACAAACAGTAACTCCCATTGATGGAAAATCTAACTTAGGTGTATGCAAAATGTAACTTGTTGAGGCAAGTCTAAATGTAACTCGCTTATAGGAAGATGTAAGTCAAGCAAAAAAGATGTAACTCGCGCACAAGAATATATACTTAACTCCATATACTATAAATGTAACTCCAGAAATTGTCTATAAATATAACTCACACATGTGGAAAAGAAAACCACACATATGAAAATGTAATCTCATATTTTATCAAATGTAAATCAAAATAAAAAAATAATGTCTTCAAAATAAAAAAAAAGATATAAAAGAGAGAAGAAATATACTATCGGAAAAATTGTATGATCGAATATGAAAAAATATATTACAAAAAAGTGCATAGTACAAAAAAATATCACTGAAATAAAAATAGTGTATGAATGTGAAATGTAATATACTAATTTTTTTAGATTGTTTATTTAGAAAAGTGTATAATACCAAAAAATATTACTAAAAAAGTGTATAATACAAAAAATATTACTGAAATATAAATAGTGTACGAATATGAAATGTAATATACTCATTTAATTAGATTAATATTTATTGCTATAAATTGATAAAGAATATAAACATAGATTGAGTTGTAATCTAAGTTGAAGAAAAAGAAAAGAAAAATTGTAATTACACTTTTAGTATTTGATGGAGAAGAAAAAGAATTGTAGAAAAGGAAAAAAGAAAAGAAAAAAAAAGAAAAGAGAAAAAGAAACACATAAGTGCAGAGAAACAAAAAAAGGAGTAGTGAGATCGGTACACCATGCGCGTGGTGTAACGATCCCACAATATATATAATTTGTCCACGAACATCTATTTTGATATTTGAGAAGTCATTTTTATTTTGGAGCTTTGTGAGAAAGATCTCATATTTAAGGGAAAACTGTCAAATAGGTCCTCGAACTTTCATAAAAACGTCAATTAAGTCCTTCTATAGTAAACTCTGTCCGGTCGTCGCAATTTGGGGAGGTTCTCGATGGAATTTTTTGATGAAATTTTTTTAGCATCTTATTCATCAAGTCTAGTTTACTCATACCGAATTTCATCTAAGATTTTAATCGGGAGCGTATTCAAATTAATTCGAGAACGCAAAAATGCTCAGTGATCTTCAAGAATTAATTTGAATATGTTCGCGATTGAATTTTTAGCTGAAATTTGGTATGCGTAAACTAGATTTGGTGAATAAGATGTTCAAAAAAATCATCAAAAAATTCAACCGGAAACTTCCCCAAATTGCGATGACCGGATAGAACCTCCTTTAGAAGGACTTAATTGACCTTTTTATGAAAGTTCGAGGACCTATTTGACAGTTTTCCCCATATTTAATCTCTTGTTAGTTTAACTTCTTTCCGTAAGAGAGAAAAATCCTTTCTTTGTATGATCTTTGATCGTTTCCTTATGCGAATGTATTTAAGTGGAAACCAAATTTCAGTGGAAAAGGAAAGATATATTTTTTACAAAGCACAAGATAAATATTTTTTCTGCAACCACTTATAAAAAATAGCCAAAAATGCGAAAGGTATACTGTTAAATTTATTCAAAAATGGATGTAATAAAAGTGTATTATTACCCAAATGGACCAAAAGATAGCCAAAAATAACAAATAGGACTACATTGTATTAAATTCCCTAGTAGGACTAATTATGTGTGTTTGAACAAATATACCATTGTAGCTTTTAAAATGTTTTAATTCATAAAAAAATTGTAAAAAATAATAAAAATAATAAAACAATAATAAAATATTTATAAAATAAAAATTTCAATTTTTTTAAAAAAATAAAAAATAAAAAAAAACGTAAAAAATACACCGTCGCCTCTGCCACACCCAGCACAACCAGCTCCGATCACCGGAGAAAATATGCCAACATGTATTAGTAATGTCATATTAATGGCAAATGCAATGAAAATTTTGGCATTATTAATGATAATAATTGATGGATAGTGTACCCGGGGTAGCTTATCTGAGGGATGTTATGAGAAATATCAAGAGAGAGGTCAGAGCAAGTAAGAGAGTGAGTGAGTATGTATTCGATATAGAAATTGTGTGTTGATTACAATGGAAGAATGAGTGCTATTTATAGCAGTCATAAATGCTAAGTCTAATCAACGAGGGTACACATGTCAAGCAACCAGCGATGGAGGGTCAATTCAGCCAGAGTGGCGCCGACATAGCATGTGGCCGCATTTAATGTGGTGGTATGGGTGTGACGTTCACATTCAATGCGGCGATCCAGCGCATGTCGAGGGGAGATCCTGTTGAGGAGAGCGCCCTCGGTTACATGCACCCGGGGGCCCCTTGTACCGAAGGCTATGTATGAGCTGAAGGCTGTGTATATGCCGAAGGCTGTAAATACCGAGGGGTGCACGAAACCTCAGTCTGAATTTCCCAGTGACGTTAGTCGACCAAGTGTAACTGTTTGCCGAATGTGTGGCCTTCGGCCATGGGGCCGAAGGCAGTAACTTGTTGCAGTATGGGCTGTCCGGAGTCTTGGTTGCTGTATTTGAACCACTTGGGCCTGTTGGGTTTGGCTGTAGTAGTGGAAGTATGTGGGCCGGGGGTTCCTGGACCATATACTCCATCAGAACTAATGTCATTTTCTTGGCATTTTCAAATCGGAGGTGGTGGTGCTGGGAGGCGATAGTCGCAGTGGTAAAGGCATCCATGTTTTTAATGGGTTTTTACTCTTTTTTATTAATTAAAAAAAATCAATTCTTTTTTTTTTAATTTTATTCTATATTTTTTTTAGGATTTTTTTACCATTTTATTATGAATTACGGAGTAAAACATTTCATTATGCATTAATACCCTTAGGGTATTTAGGCTACAAAATCAAGGTTTAATCCTACTTGTGAATGATTTTAGTACTATTTGTGAATGATTTTTAAGCAAACTTTAGTTTACTAAAATATACTCCCTCTGTCCCAAAAACAACTTCACACTTCGTTTTTCACACATATTAAGAAAATAAACTTACTAGGGGGTAAATTTTACAGTTTTGACACTGTTTGGACATTGTTTAACACTATTTGGCACGGTTTTGATGTAGATAATTTGCTAAATAAGGAAGTGGGAAGAAGGGTGAAGTTAATTTTGGAATATTCATATATTTTGGGAAAGTGGGAAGTTGTTTTTGAGACGGAGGGAGTTGGTATGTGTGTATATAAGAGAGGAAAGCATAAGACAGACGCTTGTAAAGATTGGTTATATAGTTTGAGAGAGAGAATCTCGTGGCCGGAGCTCTTGCAATAGTCATGAACCGAAGAGTCGTATTGGGTTTCTATTGTTGGGGTTGAGAGTTCTTAAACGCCCTTCATTCTCAACCCTTCCTTCCCATCATTTTTACTTCTAGATCAATTTAATAAGCTTCCATTAATGAAATCACAACAATACCATTAGATTTGTAAAACAAAAATACGTATTAGCTAGTAATCAGCTAGCAAGCTAAGATCTGCAGAAAATATGGTGATTGGGCTGGCGGCGGCTTCAGAATGCAGTAGCGATGATGCGAATGGGAAGGGTTTGTTAGAATACGTGAAGAAATGGTCACCGTCACCTTTCTTGTTGAAGACCTACATGCTTGTGGAGGATCCGGTCACTGACGACGTCATTTCTTGGAACGCCGACGGGACATCCTTTGTGGTGTGGCAGCCGGCGGAGTTCGCCAGGGACTTGCTCCCAACCGTCTTTAAGCACAGCAACTTTTCCAGCTTTGTCCGCCAGCTCAATACCTACGTACGTACTCTTAAATACTAGTTTTCCCTTCCATTTTACTTAGCTAAACTTGAATTTTCAAGTCAATGACGTCTAACTTTGACTGATTATATGTTTATATCGAGAAAATATTAATAATATGAAAATGATATGAAAATTTTCTTTGTTAAAAATAGTAGTATAACAGTATAAAATTATTAAATTTTGCATAAATATATTAGTTTAAATAATTGGTCAAAATTTACCACGTTTGATTGAAAAAGTCAAAGATGACTAAGTAAATCGGGACGGATGAAGTACGTAGTATCTGCTACCCAATACGTCCTCCGTTCCTTTTAAACGAACAGTCTACTCCTAACGTTTGTCAAAATGAGAAGTTCCATTATTAATATCATTCATTTCTTATTAGTAAAAGAATTAAAATATTCAAATTGTGAAATTTATAATGAGCGGAATTTAATGATTTTTTAAAATTAATTTATAATACGTTAATAAATAAACATAGTAAAAGTATAATAAAGAGTATGTGAATAGGTTAAAAAGTGTGTCAAAGAGAACAAAGATAGTTTATGATGAAACCCGAACTCTTATCGGTTGACTTTTTACGATTGAAACCCAATATGTCTCAATTTTCATTTTCATGTACTCACTGCGCCTCCTTATCATTTTCATGTACTCAGCCCGCGGGTCTTCATTTCCACGTCAGTACGTCACCACATTCTACTTAATTTTTTAATTTTTTTTGAAGGTGCATTGAATTTAAATTTTCAATAAAATTAATAAAAGTGCGGAGTATATATATATATATATATATATATATATATATATATATATATATATATATATATATATATATATACATATATATATATTAATAATGAAATAATAAAAAATGGATATTCTTTAATTGGTAACATTTTATAATAAAAATAAGGCTAAAGGGTCAAATAGGTACATGAACTAACTTAAAGTGTTCAATTAGCTCCTTATATAGGAGGTTCTGCACAACCGTCGCCAATTGGGCGGTTCCCGGTACAAAAAATTGATGAATTTTTTTGATCATCTTCTTCATTAAGTCTAGTTTACCTATATCAAATTTCAGCTAAAAAATAAATCGGGAAGGTAACACTACTACATTTTTAGACCTAATGTAACATTAATGATGTAACATATCTATAATGGTGTTACCTATTTCTCTAATGTAACACTTTTTAGACCTAGTGTAACACTTTCTAGAAGTATGAGGGTTACATTAGGTACTATAAAGTGTTACAATAGGTCAAATGCAACACCATCAAATGTAATGGTAAAGAAATGTTACATTTTCTCTAAAGTAACACTTTTCAGAGAAAATGTAACATTTTTTTATCATTACATTTGCTGGTGTTGCATTTGACCTATTGTAACACTTTATAGTACCTAATGTAACACTTATACTACTAGAAAGTGTTACACTAGCTCTAAAAAGTGTTACATTAGAGAAATAGGTAACACTATTATAGATATGTTACATCTCTAATGTTACATTAGATCTAAAAATGTAGTAGTGTAATCAAATGATTTTCCGAAATGTACTGCGCTGTTTAACTAAGCAGTTATCTTCAAAAAATCATTTGACTGCCTTCCCGGTTGAATTTTTAGCTGAAATTTGGTATAAGTAAACTAGACATAATGAAGAAGATGCTCAAAATATCTCATCAAAAAATTCCACCGGGAACTTCCCCAATCGGCGGCGGACGAGCAGAACCTCTTATATAAGGGGCTAATTGAACACTTTAAGTTAGTTCATGTACCTATTTGATCTTTTAGCCTAAAAAAAAATAATAGTAATAACATCTGTAACAATAATAATGGTATATTTAATGTTTAAATGCGTTTCAAGTATATCCATTAAAATCGTTTTTGGTTTGACCAAAGCAATTCATTTTGTGAAACAAATTTTAAGTATTTACTTAAAAATGATTGTAAATAATAATATGTGAGGATATTGAGTACAATCTCTAAATATGAATCCTCTGATTCTTCACTTGCAATTTGAAGTAAATATAATTAAAGAATTTAATTCAATTATATCTTTAATCTTTAAAAAATTCGAACGTTCTTAAGATCTTTGATCTTCGTTCTTGAGATCTTCGAATCTTCGTTTTTCGGATCTTCAAATCTTTTTAAATTAGGAACTCAACTCGAAAGGCCTCCAGTTTTCAAGTGGCTTGATCTCTCGGGATATATGGCTTCATTCTTCAATTGAATCTTGATTCAATCTTTATATGAATTTCTTCAAATCTTCAAAGATTCGTTCTTCATATCTTCAAATCTTGAAGCATTGTTCTTCAGATCTTCAAATCTTCGAGCTTCGTTCTTCATATCTTCGAACGTTCTTCAACTTTTGGATTTATTTTATGAAGAATATAATGAACGAAATCACAAAGGATTATTCGTATGTTCTTAATAAAATTTGTGGCTTGATTTCTTCCTCTTCTTCGGAATCGTTCAGAGCTTTTCGGGAGTTCTTCTCAACTTTTCTGCAGTGCTATTTGGTCTGGAAGTTCTCTGATCTCCTCTACTGCTCTCATCTGAGACCCATATTTATAGGTGTGGAGGGGATGAAATATGCCTTAGGGTTCTCAGAATTCGTCCATATCATTCGGGCCCTAATTACAATGGGCTTTGGGCTCCATTTGCTTACATTTTAATAGCTAAAAAAATCAACACTTGTTCGATGTATCTGGATAGCTTTCTTAACAAGGTTCAAAGTTATTCCTCATGCATATGGATAGATTTTTAACTAGATTCGTTGTCCGCTTCTCAACTTGGATCATATCTCTTTTTCATTGGGCCATTATTTAATATTGGGCTCAAAACAGAGAAATTAATCAAAATAGGTCCATTCTATTAAATATTTAATTTATAATTAAATTAATTGAGCATTTTAAATGACCCAAATTACTTTAATCACAACACTTTATCTGAATAGATCCATATTAATATTAGCATTCACGAGTAGTTCAGTAGAAGGAGACGTAATAATAATCAAAATCGGCCAATAATTTTACATGTCCACAGATTTCATTATTAAAATGCAAAATTAGTTTTACTTACCTTAAGTCAACGTACTAATATTCTTCAAAATAGAAGTTGGGAAGAGTTTTGAGAAAAGTTTTTTAAGTGAGATTTTTTCAAAATTAAAATTAGGTGTGAGTTAGAAATTAAAAAGAAAACAACATATTATAAAAATGGTGCATTTAAGCCATGATAAAAAGAAGGATAAATTATCAAAATATGACTAAAAACCGGTCAGTTTGTACAAAGAGGACCAAAAAATAAGCTATGTTTCATAAGACTAATTATGTGTGTGTTGAACAAATATACTCTTGTAGCTATTGAAATATTTTAATTCATAATAAATAATAAAATATAATGAAAAATCGTAAAAAATACTAAAAAATGATTTCTTTTATAGAAAAAATGGCTTTTTTGTACACCAGTTGGCAGACCCGGCCCAGCCCATGTGCAAGTGGAGCAAATGCACAGGGCCTCCATTTCCTAGAGGGCCTCCATTTTTTATTAGGATAGTTAGCCCATTAAGAAAAATCGTTTATATTCATAAAGTGCAACCCAACTAAACCGTTTCACATAGTCACTTATACGCTCCATATCTACGAACTTTTCTTCGCTTTTTGGAAACCTCGAATAGGCAAACGGCTCATCGTTAATCTATAATCAAAAATTTTCGAGGTCTCAAGGAGATGAACGGTAGGAACGATTATCTGCGAAGTGCGATTTTATTTTTTGCATTAGATTTTTAATCATATATATCCCATCCTTCGTTCGGACTTTCTTCTTCTTCTTCCACTTTTCCTCAAATTCCTTATTAACTTTGATAGTTGTATTCAGCCTTCAGAAAATCATACCTTGAAAGGCTTCTAATTTCCATCGTATAGCTACTAAATTCCGAGCTTCAACCAAGTGGACAGGCAGAGTTTAGAAGACGACCACACTACTAGTTCTTCAGAGTTCAGACCTTTAGTCGATCAGGGCAGTAGGACACCAAGAACGCAGGGGCCCTGCTTCGAGCGTTCAATGCCCAACAATTGATTTTTCCCCCTTAAACTCATCGACCAGGTGTTTTGGTTCCTACTTTTTCTTTATTTGATTATTTCATTATTTGCTAATGGTAATATTTGGATTATTTCGACCAGGTGTCTGCTTGAATCAGAAACTACTGTACGTAGTATTACTTTTAAATTTCAGAAACTAGGTTATTTCAATATGAAAAACTTAACAAATCTTGTGTAAGCCCAAATTAAAGATGGCATTTTGATAATATTAAATTATTATTTGAATGAGTTGAATTCTATTTAATTATTATCATTATAAAATTTTAAATTACCTTTTATTTTATTATTAGTATTATATTATGTAATGTATTTTAGGGCCTCTTTTTTGAATTTGAACAGGGCCTCCAATTTGTGAGGGTTGGCCCTGCCAGTTGGAAGTGGTGGTGCAGGGAGGTAGTACAGGCGGTGGGAAAGGCATCCATAATTTTTATAATTTTTTTACGGATTTTTAATGTTTTATAAGTTTTTTTTTTGTTTTTAAATTTTAAATATTATATTAATTTTGTATTATTTTTCTAGGTTTTTTAATTTTTTTTTACAAATTTATTATGAATTAAAACATTTAATTATGACTATTAACTACCTTTTACTCTTAATTAAAGGACCGGAGGGGTAAAAATGTAATGAAAAAATAGGTATGTTTCCAATAGGACTAATATGGTCCTATTTTGGAATAAAAACATAAAATGTCATATTTTTTATGGATAAGGGGCAAATAGGCCCACGTACTAACAAAAAAAGTCAAATATGCTCTTATATAGAAGGTTATGTCCGACCATCGTCATTTGGGCGGTTCCCGATGGAAATTTTTGATGCAATTTTTCGAGCGTATTATTCATTAAGTCTAGTTTACTCATACCAAATTTCAGCTAAAACTTCAATCGGGAAGGCATTCAAATGAATTCTTGAAGATAACTGCGCAGTTAAAAGCGCAGTTATTTTCAAGAATTTATTTGAATGTCTTCCCAATTGAATTGTAAGTTGAAATTTGGTATGAGTAAAACTAGACTTAATGAATAAGATTATCAAAAAAATTCATCAAAAAATTCCACCTGGAAATACCTCAAATGGAGACGGCCGGACAGAATCTCCTATATAAGAGCTTATTTGACGTTTTTTGTTAGTACGTGGGGCTTATTTGACCTTTTTTCTTTTTTTTATTTTTGTAGTTTTAGTCGTATTTGAGGTGATTTATTCATGTAAAAGGAATAAGAAAAAACAACACCTATGTCACTTGGGTTCCCCAATCCCCAGTCCCCACCCACAATTCGGTTTCGGTGTGTGGGTAAACCCAGAAAGAAATTAATCTATTTATCAAATGATTAATCATTTAAACATTATATTTTACCAGTGAGACTTGAAGCATTTTTAGGATCAAACCATGGCAGCGCAATATAGTAACTGTGATTAATTCAAAACAATCATAGCAATTTCATATTGACTTATCGACTATATATATATTATCATCACTTTCCAAAAAATCATAAAACCATTAGTTTTTTGAATTAGGGTTTTCGCAAGGTGGCCTCTGCCCGGTGGGAATTTTGCAACAGCAAGTTCCGGAAAGGAGAGAGGGATTTACTATGCGACATTCGTCGGAGAAAAGCGGCGAACAATAAGGTGCCAGCAAATATAAAAAGCAACAACTTTATTGATCATCGGCCAAAGTACGATGAAGAGCAAATGTCATTGTCGTCCACCTCATCAACGAGGGTGTCGTTTCCCTCAGAATACGACATCCTGGTTGAGGAGAACAAGAGGCTCAAGGGTGAAAATGGAATCCTAAGCTCAGAGTTGTCGACGATGAAGAGGAAGTGTCAAGATCTACTTGACTTGGTGTCCACGTCTGCCGCTACTGCCAACTCAAATGACGAGGAACAAGAAGAAGAAGAAGAGAGGCTATTCACGTTATTCGGCGTGAGATTTAAGCTTACCGAGAGGAAGAGGAAGAGAAATCATGAGTTCGATGGAACTGATAAGCTCTTTCTTCCGCAAACTCCAAGTTATGCTAATAACGTCATTATATATCCTGATGTGAGTGGGCATACGTGCACTTGCATGCTTAAATCTAGACCTATTTAATAAGAAAAAATTCCACTTTTGGTCCCACGACTATTATACCACTTCCACATTTAGTCTCTTACTTTCAGATTGTTCACATTTTGTCCGTGACCATTATCCTCTCATTACCCCTCGTTCTTCCAGCCAAAATTTCGGCAAATTTAACCCACTTATCAGCCTCAGAATCAGTCTTCGCATTAAATTTGATTTTTCATACCTAAAATCTGCATTAAACTTGTCGGAATTTTGGCCGGAAGGATGAGGGGTGCTGAGGGAATAATGGTCAAGGACTAAATGTGGACAATCTGAAATTAAGAGACTAAATGTGGAAATGGTATAATAGTTATGAGACCAAAAGTGGATTTTTTTCGTTTAATAATTCCATTCATGCATATATGCAATTCATGTCTATAATGCATACACGTAGTATCTCTCATGACTTAGCTTGTGAGAGAGAGACTATTCTAAATGTTCTATTTATTTAATCATTTTAATTGCCCTTCATTTTAGTGAGTTATATGATGTCATTATGCATGTAATATTGTAATCTGAATAAATTTTCGAATAAAAGAGATGGTCATATGAAGATGATCACAACTGATTATTGAAAGAATAGCTAAAATGTTACCTATACATTTTAAATGGACAAAAATATGATCATTTTAGACCTTGCCAAAAATGGGACCACCTTAAAACAGAAAAACTCAGCCTAGCTCATCTGTTCTTCCTAGCCCAAGCATCGTCAAAACTCAGGCGCCCTCCTTCGGACCACATAAGCATCGCCCTATTCCGTCGAGCAGCAGATCTTCACTGCCATCGCTCCCTTGGATGTCGCCGTCGCCTCCTGCGCTTCCTTGGCCATCGTCGTCGCTGTCATCCTTGTCCTTCGTCATTTTACTCTGCTTCTTTTTTCTTCTCTTTCTTTTCGGCGCCGCCTGATGGAGGACTGTAGCGGATCTGCGACGACGATTCGGCGGCCGGAGAGTGTGGCTAAGGTCAGATCTGGATCTAAATCCATGGAGACGATGGCTATGGTTAGATCTTGGGCAATGGTACGGTTGGTGTGGCCATGGGAGGGCTATGTGGTCGTGGTGGGCATCGATGAAGGCGGGTGGGGGCTGGTGGGGGAAGGTGGGGACTTGTTTGACAATGACAGGGCAATGAGATTTGTGGGATGAGGTTTGGCCGGTGGCCGGTGGCCGGCGGCGTCACCCATCAGAGGTTACAGTCTATGCAGCGGTGCAGTGACTGTTTGCAGGGTGGGAGAGTGATGATGGTGCGGGGATGGAGGTTAATGGTGGAGGGTGGTCACTGATGGGCAGGTCTAATAGGCGGTGGTGGAGGCGACATTGGTGGTGCCAGTGGTGTTTCCGGCGATCACAATGACACTAGTGGCGTCACTCTGGCAGCGTCACGGTGGGTGGCGTCACTGTGGCCGGCCTCACTGTGGTGGTGTCACTGTGGCGGGCAGCATCACTGTGGGCGACGTCACTGTGACCGGCGTCACTGTGGCGGGCAGCAACGTCACTGTAACGGGTGTCATTGTGTAAATATAGTAGTGTCACTTAAGATTAGTCACATTTTTGGAAATTAAGAAAAAAAAGTCACTTTTTTGTCAACTGTCTCCAACTTATAGTAATATTCAAGACATAACTCCTTGATTATTTCATTTAAATTATTATTTTTGTCTATTTTTTGTATTGATCTTGTGCATTTGGTTTAATGCTAGCTGAATTTTCTCACAACGTCAATATATTCGAAGAGTAGCTCCAAGTAGGACTAAGATGATTCCCAAACGCGAGAATGACACTATATATTCTTGTTTTCTCAAAATATAAGTAATTTATGCTTCCTCTTTTTATTCTGTCTTCCACCTATGATCCATAATAGGAATTGTTTTATTAATAAAAAATCATAGTTTATTAATAATGAGAAATAAAAATAATAAAGTAAATTTATAGTAAAAATGAAAAAAGTAAATAACATAAAAATAAATAAAATAAATTTTAAAAATAAAATAATATTAAAAATGAATAATAAATAAAGCACAAAAGAATATAAAATATATGTGGGCTTCCGCCCACGCATAGCACATCTACCGCCTCCCAGCATCGTCACATCTGATCGATGATAGCAAGTGTCCTTTTGTGTAAAGAATTACATCTTTCTCTCAAAATGACAAGAAAATGACATTAGTACTCTTTGGAAATGCCAAATTTTGCTCACAACCTTTCATCAGGATCACATTATTTTTGCAAGTTTGTATTCTTCCCAGTGATCAGAGGTAGTGGTGCTAGAAGATGCATGGTTGATGTGGTGATTAAGGCCTGCATTTTTTTTATTTCTTTCATTTATATTTTTTTAATTTAATTTATTTATGTTTTATAATTATAAATATAAAAAATCCTATTAAAGCATCGCAAGGTTTTTTCCATTTGGATAGGATGAGTTACTCTTATTTTAAAAATCATGTTTTAAAAGAAAAACATCAAATTATATTAATCTAAACAAACGTTTGCAATTACAATGAGTCAATAGCTCAAACTATATATGAATTTATCTTTCCATGAATATGTATGGTTGTAAAAGGAATTAACTATGGTGAGGTATGACAAAATTGAACACTTATGAGCATGAAATCAAGAGATTATGATTTTTGAAGAACTTCAATTCGGTGTATTAGTCAGTAGGGGTGATCATGAAAAACCGTAACCGATTAACCGTACTAAATAACCGAAAAACCGATGTTTTTCACGGTTAACCATACCGTGTTTTTAAAAATTCACGGTACGGTTAACCAACCGAAAGAAACAACGGTTCACGGGACGGTTACGGTTATGAAACTAAACTACCGTCGGTTAACCGATAATCTAAATATCACATCTAAACTAATGTTAGTCAAGTATTGCATGACTCACATGTGCATTAAACCGTTAATATTAGTGAATAGTGAGTAATGTTAGAGTCAGCAAAAAGTGATGGTTTATTGGAATCGGAGCTATATTATTGTTATTAATATTATTATTAGTTATTAATTAATTAACTTGTCATACGGCACAATCACAATTAAGGCATGTCTTGGAAAACTATATATGCAACGCTTCGGTACATAATACGGAGTACAAGTTTTCCCTACAAGGAGTACGTTTTTTAGTTAAATCGGGTGTTTTTATCTAATTTTCAATTTTCATCCCACTTCCCTTAAAACATTAAAAAAAAAATTAAAAAAAGTAGTAGAGAATATATGGGAAAACCTTCTACGGGAACCTATATTGGATTCTTACGGGTCAGCGAAATCTCTTGGAGTAAATGTTCAATTATAAGAGGTGGCACATTTGTAGTTGTTCAAATGGATTTTAGGTTAACCAATAATTGGTTAACCTATATTACGGTTAATTGTTACCCGGTTAACCGATGTTACCGTATTATAGAAATATTAACCGAAAACACGATTAACCAAAAAATTGGTTAACCAAAATGCGGTTAACCAACCATGCTTACCCCTATTAGCTAGGATATATATATCCTTTGGAAAATAGTGTTCACCGAATCGAATCGCAGTCGAGTAACTCCACATGGCCACATCAGACCACATCGTAGGCTGTATATTGAAAATATTAAAAAATTGAAGTCAGGGAACAAGAGGCGGATAGGCCGACATGTAGTCTATTGAGGAATAGTTTTAATTCAATTAAATGTGAAAAACTAAAGAGTTGCATACGTACATGAAAAGACTTCCCAAATAGTTATATCTTTATATGTTCCAATTTAAAGATGTGATTTTGTTAGACATATTATGACCTCATTCTCATATAATAGAACACAATGTGTGAGAGTGTGTTACTGTATCTCTATGATCCTTCTGTCTTATTTTCTTACAATCTGGTATTAGAGTGGCTCGTTCGATCCAAAAAGATGTCTGGAAATTTGTTTGGAAATATATCGATCCTGATACTCGAAAAAGGAGTGTATGATCGGTGGAGTGTTCAAATGCGAAACCTGGTCGACGCATATGGCATCTGGGACGTATTTTAGGAAGGTTTTAACAAACCGGCTGAAGGAGCAGTCTTGACAGCGGCACAATAGAAGGAAGAAAAGGAGATGAAGCAAAGGGAGTTTCTGGCTCGTACATTAATAAACTACGGGCTAGACAAATCTGAACAAGAAAGGGTCAAAAACATGCCGGCCAAGGAGGCATGGAGACTTTAGAGAAAACTTTCAGAGGCAGCAATCAAGTGAAACATGTAAGACTAAAAATTATTCGGGGCGAGCTTGAGTCGATGAGGATGAAAGAATCTGAGCTCATATCTGCCTATATTGAACGGGTAACCAGCGTGACGACCCAAATGAAACGAAATGGAGAAATCATTCATGAGTCCAAAATAGTTGAAGAAATAGTATGAACACTCACGTACAAACAAGTTTGAGAGCGTTGTGTACACAATCGAGGAAGCCAAAGGCCTCGAGAACGTAACACTAAAAGAACTGTCTGGATCCCTGGAAGCCCACAAGAAGAGAAGGAAGCAAAGTGAAGAGACTTCTGAACAGAGAGAACAAAACAAAGTGAACATGAATGAAGAGAAAGCTTTGTATAATGAACAGTCCCATGGCCAAGGATGAGGATGAGGAAGGGGCCGAGGAAGAGACCGAAATGAATATAAACCAAACAACAGACCAACCTGAAGAGGTCGCGGCCAATGAGGTAGTAAAAGCGGTCGTGGCGGGCGACCCAATGTGGATTACTACAATTGTGTGCCAGCAAGAGCAATTGGTTGGAAATCGGCCGCTTCTTTGTCGGAGTTCATTTCTAGAGTTTTAGTACTCGGTACTGAGATTGTGAGCTAGGTCAACTCTTGATCGACCTCCTTCTCTATTTTCTTGCTCCAACAATGAGGTCATTATCTATCTGATATTCGTGTATTTTTTGATTGTATGTTTCTATTTTCATCTAGTTTTTATTAATTCTAGTTGTGGAAATTATACACTTTTGGTGTAATACTTTAGTTTCATAATTATTTGTAATTTGTTTAGATTAGGACTATTCTGAGCTAAACTGGTCAAAGATCACCCAAGGGATCAAGATGGGACCTTAAAGGATCAAGGAAAGTGCAAGGAGGCAAGAAAGGTTTCGATTTGGGAAATTGTTCATGTACCCGTTCGGGTATAGGCAATTACCCGATCGGGTGTTTCCTTGATTCGATTGTCCAAATAAAATCCAAGAACAAATGATCGCGGGAGCAAGATTTCGTAAAAGATTTGTCACATACCCGATCGGGTATGCCCAGAAAAGTGACTTTCTGGGAAATTTCCTAAGATACCCGATCTGGTATCCTATATACCCAGTCGGGTATCAGACCCTGCAGCTCCAAAAGCCTATAAATACACCCCTTTCCTTCCCAATAAAATCACCAATTCCTATACACTTCTAAGCTCAGTTTAGTTAAGTACTTTCTTTATATTTTCTATCATGTTTAGTCTCCAAATGAGTAGCTAAACTCTTCCATCTTGGTTTTGCTACTTTGAAGCTTAATGGATTGTAAGTTGTGAATTATTTTCTTTAATCTTCTTCCTTGAATATTAATTCTTCCCTTAATCT